TTGCAAGGTTAAGTTCCAAGGAGGCCTTAGCTTTCCTAATTGCCTCCCTACCTCCTCTGACAACAGTCCTATATTCCTCCCACATGACCAGCCCCTCCTTCCATGATCTGTAGATTTTCCTTTTCCACTTAAGTTTGCCCAGTAGTTCCTTCTTTAACCATGCAGGTCTCCTAGCACCCTTACTAGATTTCCTAACCATTGGGACGCTTTGATCCTGTGCTTGCAAGAAGTGGTCCTTGAATGTTGACCAGCTATCTTGAGCTCCTTTATCTTCTAGCACCCTGTCCCATGGGATTTCCCTTAATAGATGATTGAGGAGACCAAAGTTTGCCCTGTGGAAGTCCAGGGTTCTGGTCCTGCTGGGTATTTTGTTCCTTCCACACAGGATCCTGAACTCCACCATCTCATGATCAACTTGGACCATTATTACTTTTTCTGTACTCCTTATTTCATCTATCATGTGACTTACCCTTTAAAATCCTGAGCATCTTTTAACAGTTAACATCCTTTAAGAACTGCATTGTTAGAGAAATTCTTCTTCTTAAATCTGAAAGTTCCTATATCTATATATTATAACTACATGTAAGATGCAAAGTACATCAAGCCTTAGATGGGCATGTTGTGGCAATGATATAGAATGACATCATTAAAGTTTATTACCAGGGAAGCACACTAAAAAGGTCTAATGTTCAGAAAGAACTTTTCATGTTGGTTGCCTGACAGTAAAATTTGGAAGACATGCAAAATATATGGTGGGAAGCTCTTAACTTCTTAAGTTTTCAGCTGACTTCTATAGCCCTTGAGGGCTAATAGTGCTACAACTGACAGACTATAACTGACTCACTGATTTTACTTCTTCCTGATCTGGCTTCCACCCATGGATGTCCCAGGCCTGGAGAATGTGCATTCTAGACTATAACTTGTCTACCTCAATATCAGTTACTGAGGAGTTTTTAGAAGTACTGGTTAGATCAGCTCTGCACCTGTTCTAACATACGCCACAGTCAAACTGCAGAGGCTTAGAAAATTTTCTCTGCTGTGTCCTCTTCTATGTCAAAGAACAGCTATTCTATGCTCAGGCACAGTATACAGCCTTTTATACTGACTTTAACCTTGACTATTTTTAATTCTATTTTCAGTCTATTTAGAAACTCTCTGCCTTCAAAAGTTGAACTCATGGGAACAAAGGGGTTGGGTTTTCAGTTGGAATTTTTTTTTTTTTTTCTTTTTGATCCCCTATAGACTTTCTTTTCTTTTTTGTTAACAAGACACAAAGATTTTGTTGGCACAAGTTTGGAATGATCTGCAGTGCCTTCGCTGTCAGTTGCAGTAATCCTCTGGCACCTGGCCAATCATTCCAGATCTAAATTCCTTGCCAGTCTAATTTATAGCAAGCAGAAACATACCTTGTTCACAGGTACTTGTAATACTGTTACAATTCAAAAGTAACTATTTTTGCCAAAGATAGAATCTGACTGGCAGTTTTCCTCATTCAGAGTCAGAGGAATAGCAGAGCAACAGACAAACCTGAGGGCACAACTAATTTTTCAGCTACACTGCTAAAAGCTGAACAGACATTTTGGCACTCTTTTCTGCTGTGGTATATAGAAGATATTTGCAGTATACATGTGTTTCGTCTTGTATATTTATTTGCAAGTACTCCATTTACCTTCTATATTTATCTGATTTTTCTGAATTTCCTTTGAATTAAACTGAAGCCACAAGAACTTTCAGCTTTTAATTAAGTCCACTCCAAATGTGAGTGCTGTTACTGTCTGCCCCAACCTGTGCAACTACTACAGTTTTGGTTTTACAAGAAGACCAGAGAGAAAAATTTTAGGTGATAAAGGTAATTTCTACATTGTGGAATTACAATAAATTATCTTCCTCCTCAGTCAGCCATGAAAACAAGTCTCTCATGCTTTTTAATTCATGAAGCACCTTCTGGCTCATTAAGATCACTTGATGGTGATTCCTTTGTATGTGCAAAGTGTATTCTTTTCACACTTGATGACAATAATGAAAAAATACTCAGTGTTTGTAAGATATTCTACTTAAAGTTGCTATGAAGCTATAAAATTCTAAGAAAAAGATAATTCTTTCCCAGTCTGTATGTGCATCTTTTTTAATGAAAAGAGAAATGTTAGTTTAAAAAGATGCATGCTCAATGATTATAACAGGAGAAGTACATTTAGTGTCAACACGCTGTAGGTCGGGATTTCACACATTGCTGCACAGATATGATACTAAAGATTGCAGTTACTGGGCACAAGAACAAATGCTTCTGCAGTGCTAACTGTGTAACTAAAAGGTCTTGAACCAAGTGTGTTTTAACTGTCCAGCAAACCTAATTCAAATTGGAAAACCTACTCCTCAGAGGAGTGACGAAACTTGGTAGAAGCAGATGGGGCTGTCTGATGTAGGCTGATTCAAGAATGTAGAGGTGTTAAAACCAAACTTCTATGATGTGTCATTCAGGGCTGTTTACAATATTTGTAAAACGTGTGATTGCTTTCAGTATCTGTACATTTTATGTCACTTGTAGCCTCTTTGTTAAACACATTTTGATGCTTCTACTCATGCCTGCTCAGGTGTTTTGTCTCTTGAGCTACCTTACTGCCCCACAGCAGACATCTTTTAACATTTAACTGTACTTTTAAAGACCAGTGATTGCAAACATGCCGCCAGTTGGCCTGTTGTAGTAGAATCATCACCTCTTTTGTTTTCCAGCTGCAATACATTTTGTATCTATACATCCAAATATCTCATTACAGTATGAAATAACTATCAAGGAAACTGACATTGACTACTTCATTTCAGTTTCCACATGACATTTCTTATCACAAAATACCTTTCACATCAACACTGCCTGAGATCAGGCCTGTCTAGCTTCTTTTTTGACAGATTTTCACAGCTCTGGAATGTCTGTTAATAATAACGATTGAGCTATATGGCATTTTTCAGGAATTAATGATTGGCTAGACAGCTCCATTGACACAGTGCTCAGCAAAGGCCTATTCTCTATAGCAGGTAATCAGTCTCTGGGAAATACTGAGGTTGCATCCACATTGTTACTAACAAAAATTAAATATAGAATTTGGAACATTACAATTCCGATTGCTCTATAGGTTCTAATTGTTCTATATTCTTCAGATTTATCACCATTTCAGCATTCAAGTTAACTCATTAACTTTCTCTGTATCAAAAAGTGTTTCACTAAACTAAATGGTTACGTGTTTGACTAAAGACAACTCTCTAGGTTCCAGCTGAAACATTCATCTTCTCAATTGTTTCAGAGGCAAAATACATTCCTTATGGATAAAACTGTACAAAAGTAGGTAATTATTACTTACCTTAAAGCAATGTCAAAAAGAGGTCTTGAAAGTGGAAGGTGAAAAAGTGATGCTGAACTGGGATTTCTTGCATGTTTCTCAACTTAATAAAGACAACTGAAATAAATTAGAAATTGTTTATTATTCTTATTCTATTAAATTATTAAAACTCTGAAACATGGTACACCTAAAATAACATCACTGCTAATACACATAAGGGGCACAGAGAACATAACAATTACAGTAACTTATGATTAATCAGTGCAACATAATTTATGGGTTCTGGGTTCTGTGGATCTGATCCAAAGTCCTAGGGTGCCACAGGAAATATTTTTTTTCAAGGAGCCTTAATCACCCTTTTTTCCCCAGTTCCGTGCCCTCATTCCAAGCACATGCCACTTAGGGTGAGATTCTGATAGTATGGACCTGGATCCTGAGTATCTTAGATTCTAGCCTAAGTTCTTTGGCTTTTTTACTATAGGGGAATTCTTAAGGAAAACATTAGGAACTCGGTGAAACAAGAAACTTGTACCATAATTGGTCAGAATTAATAGCCCATAAATTAAATCATTTTAATGCTGTTATTTATGCACTGATCGTTCAAATATTTAAGCAGCTTTTTAGCTACAGATAACAGGGAAACCTGCATAATCTTAAGTGCCTGACAGACTGGACCTTAAATAATAAGTATGGAACAGATACATTTTGTGCAGTATTTTGAGCATAAACTAGATCCCAAAGTGTTAAATAATAAATAATAGCAGAGAGAAGTATACACAAGGAAGGATTGATATGATTTCAGAGGAGACTTCAAAGAGGATGTTGATGAGGTGGAGGTTTTACGAATTAAATATTAAAAACTGATAAGGCTGGCTTGGGCTGGGACTATTGTTTTTCTCTGCTAAGAAATAAAGGGGATTTCTAACCACCTCCTGGACAAGGATGCAAGGCATTCTGTCAGACTGTTCAGTGGAATCATCACTGTACTTAAGTCTATTTTTAAGAGAAGGCAAAGGATCACAATTAGCTAACTATAGCCCTCTCAGATTCCAAACGTCTGCTTTGTCCTCTGCCTCACCTTTCTGTTTATTTACCACTTAACAAGTCCACACAGAGTTGGCCAAATTTCCTGAGTGTGGAAGCAACATTCCCCCTCTCAGGAGCTGGTGGGAGAGGAACCGTGAAGGGCCATTGCAGAGCCCCAGCACACCAGCCCCTCTCCCCTGACGAGCAGCCCACCAGGCCGCAGCAAGGCTGCCACAGTCCTGCCCTACAGAAAAGGGCGGCTGATTTAAGCACCAGCCCATACTGGTAAATCAAACCATAACGAGCTTATTTCCTACATTTGGTGGCAGCATAGTATTCAGGAAAATATTATCACTACTTGCGCAGGTTACTGCCGAACTGAAAGATGGAGATGAGAGAGTTAAACAACAGGGATGGGGAGTGAATCACTAAAAAGTCTTTCCCAGAGTCAGTTCTCTTTCTGAGGGAAGTTATTTTAATTCTGTGTCTTGCAAACAACCTGCAGCCCCACAGTGTCCTCTGGAGCCAGTCTGACTGACATTATAACAAGATTTTTAAATAAACGATGTGCAGGAGCAGCGGATGTTCAGCAGACACAAAGGCAGCCCCGCTCTGAAGCATGCAGGACGAGTAACACCGTACCTGTGCGGAGCGCCCCGGGGCGAGGGCAGCGCCTGCTCACGGCCATGGCTTAGCGGGGGTGCGGCCCCATGGACCCCGCTCCGCCAGGACCGGCCTCTGCCTCACAGGTGAGTGGATCTCCGGCGAGCGCTGCCTGCGAGGACAGCTGTCCCCGGGAGAAGGAGCGCTCCACTTACCGGGAGAGCGGCACTGAGCCTCCCTTCCCCGGAGCTGCCGCCGGCTCTTTTAGGCGCCCACCCCGGACCCGCGGGGCGGCTGCGGGGCTGCGGCTGCGGGGCT